TCGATCATCGGCTTGCTGTCCTTGCCACTCAACGATGTGAGTACGTCTGATGGTAGGATGGGTATGTGGGAGCTCAAGCGGTCGTGTCCGCCGGGGTCATCGGTGCCGTGGTCGGTGGAGGAGGATCGGGGTAGCAGACGGCGGCATCCCGGCGCGTCGTCGAGGCCATTGTGGCCAGGCGGTGGAGGCGGAGGGTACGACGTTGGCGGTACGGTATAGGATGCGAGGTCGACGACACGCAACACGATCTAATGTGGATGTATTATGCCGAGAGTACACAGAAGACGAGAAAGGTGAAATGTGCAAGGGAGCGGGGTGGCGTCGACTGGCGTGAACGTCGCCCTGATGCCTAGTGCGAGCCAGTGAAGTGGTACCCGCCGCAAGTAGCAGATGCACCCGTCAGGAAACGGTTATATGCGAGAACAGCGAAGTCACCTTTGTCGGAAAAACCCGATCGGCATCTTAATGCATCCAAATACATCTCAACGGCCCAAATACGGGCCGGTCTTGAGTAGCCATCGAGAGCCGAGATATTTCCCTTTAGATAGCATCTGTATGGCCCGGACCGGGATCTGAATGGGTGGCGACTAGATCATGATGGCTGAGAGGCGGATCTCAATGGATGGAGTCTGGGTCGTGATGTCATCACAATGGTCCCGTGTTGTCGGGAGATACCGGGCTCTAGACACAAAAGGTCGAGCCCGGGGGCGCTTCGCTTCTGCCACCTTACTCTTACTAATTCACCCGCCACCTTAGAGGAATTTACTTGGTACTTACTAGTCCACTATATTGTGTACATCACTGGAATGAACCCAACTCTACAACGTTCCTTATCAGTCAACTTACGTAGGATATACAGAGTTTGTATACAGACGACATATTCTCACACGTTACAATCCGAGTACACATACAATCCGGATACACATATATATTAGTGAGTACATGATCGGGACTCGAACCAGCGAGCGCTCTAAGAGATACAATGCAATAAAACCACTACACCATAGGGGCTTTTCTAGGATGAGTGCTCATATATATAAGAAGACCATGTGCCTGTACCAGGCAGGGGAAGAGACGATAAAGTACAAGGTCAGCGGTGTAGGCGGAGAACACGTATGTCGGCCAATTGTGTTATGCAGAAGCTCCCGTGCGCGCACAACGACTGGATGCGTGTCGGCCAACAGGTTGCCTATGCGCAGCGCAGGCGCCGCATGCATCATGCTCTTGATCAAGTCCCATAGCTCCTGATTCGCGTCGGGCTCGACCTGGCTGAAATCTTCCCGACGGAGTCAGTACCACGCTTCACCCTGCGCACGAGCTATGGACGTCAGCGACCACATACATACGCCGGAGTCAGAGAGACACGTACTGGTCTGGCACGACAATGTTCGACGCTGTCTCCAGCATGGTCATACCCAGGTTGAAGACGTCCGCAGCCTTGCCATACAGGCCCTTGGAGAACCTCCAGCGCGAGATAATGCTTGTCGCCTTTGCGCTCGAAACCAGCAGGCTTCTTCCCGGGGATCAAGCTTGGTTCGCCGGGAGGGGACGGCCTGGGCCACACGGAGGCCATACCAAAGTCATCGCTCTTCAGCCTGCCTTCTCCCGTGCGGAATATGTTCGCGGGTTTCAGGTCGAGGTGGATGACGTTCGCGTCGTGAACGAAGCGCAGATCGGCAGCGAGCTCCGCCATGGTCTTCCAGGCACGCGCTTTGTCGAGCTGAGGGAACGTTCGGCCGTACTCCCAGAGGAAGTGGGCGAAGTTGCCGAGTTCATATACTTCCGTCTGAATATAGAGCGTCTCGTCTTCCTCCCAGCTGTCGGCATAGGCAAGGATGTTGGGGCGTCGACAGGCAAGACGTATCGACGTATCAGAAGAGCGGGCTGCAGCGTCCGTAAGATGCTTCAGGATGTCGACCTCTTCGCGAAGACGAAGCCTGAAAAGACGATAAAAGGTCAGTACCCCTTCGCCGCCAAAGAACTTTCCCACCGAGTCGGTAGGGATACTCACCGATGTTCGACGCCTCCGAATCGTTTTGACTTCTTGACAGCGAACACGTCCGTACCCTGGGCCGGGTCCTTGTAGCGGAGTTTCATCACATGCCCAAACTCCCCGCTCCCAAGCTCGTCGATTTCCACACAATTACGCGAAAATCGCCCAGATTCCTCCTCGTCAGTGGAGGCAGGGAGTCGTGCAGCACGAACAGCCGGTCGCGCATGAGACTGTCGTGCAGGATGAGTGTGGGTGTGTGGCCGCTGTCCATGGAGGGCAGTGAAGAGTGCGGGAGCAGGCGTCCGCAGGTTCTGGTTGGCCCTGCGTTCGCGCTGAGACAGTGTCCCAAGAGCGTAACGTGTGACTGCGTTGATGGTGGGCGAGTTCGTTGCGGTGGAGGTCGACGACGAAGAGCCCGGAGTGAACCGGCTGGCCGCATCCAAAGCGCTCTTGAGCGGCGATGCGCCCAACGTACAGACTCGGGGCGGAGGTAGCATCCACTCTGCACATCGCATCTAATTAGCATGCGCTATGTTTGCGGCGATTAGGGACACACCTTTCGGCAGTGAGCCTCGTAGTGGCATTGACAGAAGAAGCATTGTTCGAGCTCGAGAACGCACCACTGCTGCTCCTGCGCATCAATCAGCTCGCTCTCCCACCTCTCCCATGTCCGCCTGGCCTTGGAGGCGGTGGCAGACCACTTGTCGGCCTCCCGAGACCCAGCCCGTCGTACTTGGGATCGACTTCGAGCGTTGTAGCTTGTTGAGTGTTCGGCTCGTGTGGGATTGAGTGCGCGTTCGAGTTGCGCTTGAGGCATTTGAGCGTCGCCGCGGCGACCCAGACTCGGAGAAGGTGGTGGAAGAGTTGGATGTAGTTCGAGTCCACATGGTTCGAGTGAGAGAGAAGGCGACCGTGCTCAGGCTTGTGCGCCTACTGCTAAAGCGCGGAGTCCATAGCGTCTATCAACGTCCTGGACGCTGCAATACGACATACCTTGTTCTGCGATGGAACGTGTACTCCGCATTACTGCAGACAGCTAACCATGCAACAAAACGACATTTCATTAAGAGCATAATAGCCTATGACATGAGAAATCATTAGGGAAGGACACCCGATGCTCGAGAAGTAACCAAAGGAGCAGGGGCTAAAAGGGGCACTGACGTGCATAGGGAAAGCAAGGTACTGTTAACTACGCGTGGTATGGCGGGTGGTTGCAACAGTGGAGTTAACGAGATCAAGGCTAACGAGATCAAGGCTTGTTCTTGCGGGTGGCTCGAGCGCGGGTTCGCGGGCGTGCAGGCTCGGGAGCACGGCTCCCAGTGGGGGGCTCAGGAGCGTCCTCGACAGGAGGCTCGGAGCCGATGCAGGGGTCAGCACCGGAATCGGAACCCTCAACGTGGGTGACAACTGACAAGGAACCAGTGGAGGGTAGGGGTGCATGGGGACTGCTGACAGGACCATGGGAAGTGGCCCTGTGGGAGCTAGAACGGGTTGACGCAGCACGAGAGGGATCAAACGGGATGTCGATGGGTTCGCTCTCATGGACAGAGCGGACAAATTCGGGGAAGGATGCGGGTGTAGCACGAGGGCGAGGGCGAGCAGCAATGGCGAGCAGACGGGCTTCGTCATCCGAGTCTGGGTCATCAAGGTGATCATCAGCGGAGTCGCTGTCGATTCCCCTATCAGAATCAACGTTGACGTGTTCAGCAGCATTAGTGGCAGCAAAACTCCCGAAAACTTGTGCGGACAGCCAACGAACGGTCTTCTCGACAGCGGCAGTGCGCCAGTTCTTGGTGAGCCATTTGCACCAGTACTCGAAGTCCTCACGGTTATTAGCCCCGGAGGACTGACCCGTAACCTTGAACTCACGGTCATACCCCAGTGAATGTCGTACCTAGGAACTATCAGCAAGACATCTGGGTTCGGAAGTATTGCAGGACGCACCAACAAAGCAGCAAATGCAATGAGATTTGGTGTGAGTGCCTTAATACCGAGATGGACACCTGTTGTGTTGCCCTTGGGCTGGTGACCATCCTGGACAGCACCCAACCCGTAGAGCATCGATCTGATTGTCTGTTGGGATCAACATCAGTATTTGTCATGTTCCCTTGCAGGCTAGACATACCAAAGCTGTCGAAACTGTACGGAATCGGACACGGGCCTCGCCTGCCCTATGCTGAGGGAAGATGGCAGGTGGCCACAGCGTACTGAAGCCAGTAGCTTCGCCCCGGTAGTAGATGAGGTCGCTGTTGTCCTTGAAGGTGTCCACCTTGGCAGACCAATTGATGCCCAATAAGGAATCCACTGAGCCAAAGATAGTCGCACGGTTCTTCTTGACGGTACATGTTGCTGTGTTCTTCTGAGCTTGAACAGCGTCGGAAAACTGTTCCCATCCCTGATGAGCAGCACAATAATCAAATGATGTAAGAGATGCCATACCGTAGACTTTACCCACGGATCTCCAAAGTTGCGTTTCACATCTGGATACTTGTTCAGGAGCTTGAACAGCTCCGCAGCTGCGGCTTCCTCTTGACGCTCCTTCGCAAGTCTCTTCCCATGCGGTCCACTGGGCCAGCGCCACTCGAAGTTGAGGGGATCAACATCAGGCGAGGAGTTGTAGCCAAGAACTCCCGGATCGAGCCAAGGGGACACGAGAAGAGCGTAGGCATGCCCAGCATTCACAATGTCCTTCTTGAGCTTGGCGAGCTGTGGCGTAGCAGCCGGAGCTCCCCGACGGGACTGGTTCGAGCGGAGGACCTCGTTCTCAGCTTCGAGTCGCTCAATCTGGGAGATGGCGGCAGTGTAGTCGAGCTGGAGCTGGTGATACAACTGGAATTGATAAGAACATGAGTACCTAGAATGTAATGAGATCGTAGCAAGGACAAACCTCTCGTAGCTCAACCATAGTAACACTATCTGAGGGCGGGCTGAGATTGATCCGGGTGATCGGAGCTACACCGGAGTCTGAGGGGAGAGAGGTCCCACGAACTTCGTCACCGGGTGATCTGCTTGCTCCGGAGGGCATCTCGCTGAATGACAAGATAAGCAAAACAACACAAGATCTAAGTAGAGCCACATACTATGCGTGTAGTCTGCCTAGTAGCACTTAGGAAGCTGGAAAAGCCAAGGTGCTAGGTACAACAGTGAGATGCCCACTATGCAGCGTAGGTTGATGCCTTGACCTGGTGTGGATGACATAGTATTTATACATTCCCACATACCTGGAATCGGGCAAGCACCACACCTGCAAGCCAAGTGATGCGTCAGGTAGTAAGCTGCACACGATGCTAATTGGCAATTGTCAGTGCAAATTCGGATACCAACTTGGTAAGGGACGGACCTCGTTTGTGGGGAATTAGCTACAATGAGGCGACCAACTTGGAGCTTGCCTGACGTTCTGGTCAGCAAGCGCCTCGT